TTTTTAACTTGTGTTTTAAGTTTGTTTTATAAATTATTAAACAAGTATATACTAAGAGCTTGAAACCGAATTCAAAAAGATTCAATTATTAAATTAAATTTGCATATTCCAAATTTTTGGAACCTTTTTTCTTCCATATTTTTATATCGCAAATAAGACAGAAAATTCAGTTTACAAGTCACTGATATGTGGTGATCATTCCTTATTAAATAAATGTCGGCGCATGCATACTTAAAATAGTTATTTTAAATTCGGCATAATATCAAATAGTATGCAAATTGAAATTATGTTTCTCAAAGCAAATAATGTAGATAATGACACAGTACTTTCTTTGCGACAAATAAAATTTTGTGGTAAATAAACTTTTCGAACTTATCTGGGTTGTCAAAGTCTTCATGGATCATGCACATGTGTCATACTTTAGAATAAAATGATTTTTTTTTTATGCGAAAACATTTAGAAAAAAAAATCTGAGTATTTTTATGCTGTTTACTAATTATAAGTTTTCATTTTACCTTTAGAAAAGCATCTTTAAGCTCACCATCCAGTGAAGGGCTGGCCTTAGAACACATTGACAATGTGTAATAAATTTTCAGCTTTGAAAACTTAACCTACGATATTTAAAATGTTGTTAACTAAAAGAAAAGAAACATGCAAATATAACCACAAAATTTACCATACAATAACACATAATAACAATACCACATCACAATACCTCAACATTTGCAACTATATAAAATGGTTTAAAATTAATGGTAAACATATGATTATAAAATCCAATGTTTTAACCTCTGCAGAGGATCAAAATTGTGATGGCATGTCTTCGGATCATCCTCGGAAACGTTTCCCAGACAGTTACCAATAACCTATTGCGCAGCTCTTGTGCTCCGTAAATAAAATATCTATCTACCCCAACAAGAGCGGAAAATTTAAATCTTCAAATATGTATGTATTTTAAAATTTAATTTAAAGTATGTGAGTTAAAGAAGAAAAAATTTGGTACATGTTCACATCAGCTTTACTTTCACGTTTTCGTGTTTGAATGATATTTTTAATTATGCTTTAGAAGAACTGAAGAGTTAAGTGGAAAAAAAAATTAACAATTTAGTGAATTTGCTTGGATTAACTTTCGAGCTATAAAAAGCTATAAAAATAAAGCTGAATTAGCTATAAAAAACTGCGTACCTAAGGGGTAGCAAATTGATATACAAGTTCGAAAGAAAAAACTTAACCAAACTTTGACCATTCATGAGTGTTATAAAAAGCAAAAGAGAGATTAAAATCATCAAAAAAATAGTTTATTTTGTCATATAAGAAATAAACACATTTATCACAACGTCTTCTGCCATTTAAACTAAATCATCAACTGAACTAGTTTTAGATTATTTTAATCTCTCCCTTGATCTTATTGACCTCAATAATAATTAGTCCATTCGAATACTATTCTTGTCTTTCTTCCACTAATCTATCACATTGCAACCTCAAATGCGCAGTTTTAATATTTTATTATTAGGATACCGGAAAAATACTTTAAGGGCGGACATTAGAGAACACTGTACTTTTTTGTTCATTAGAATCTATAATTTTTTTAAAAATCTATTTTACACTTACGGCGCAATCTTTGATGGCTTTGTTCTTATCCATTGATAATACTTGCAGTAGAAGCATTAGATCTTCCGCATACCTACACATTGGTCCAATTGTTGTGACATTTTCAATGCACGCAAATTGTCCATGAGGGGAAACCAAACCTAAAAAAAATGCAGTTCAGTTTAGACCTGAAAATACTGTTTTTAACTGGCAGCATTTATTTATATCAATTTTATTTTTTCAACTTAAAATTTTCATTACTTAACAACAATCTAACATGACATACAATATGAGTCCCACAGTGGACTGTGGACCTTGTGTCATTAAACCTTACATTCAACTCAACCCACAGTGGACTGATTGTAAAAGCACGATTCCCAGTGGAACACCGAAGTCAATCATGACTGGCTGCGGTGTCAGTAAGCGGATGGGTGATCACTTTAATCTGCGTGCGTAAGGACCGAGAGTGCGCAGTATCGGTCCTCGTTAAACTGTTCTACCGTAAAATGCTCGACTTCGTGTGTAGGTCATCGGGCTGTCAAAGCAGATTAACCATCCCATCTGCAGAAAAACAAAATTGTAATAGCCTGTATTCGGATCATCCTCAGGGATGTTACCCAGACTATCGCTAATATTGTGCAGCTCTAGCGTGACGTAAATAAAGAACCTACCTACATGCAATATAAAAAAAAATATTCACTTTATCTTGTATTCATATTCTTATTCCTAATATTTAGATTATTTTTTAAAAAAAACTTTCAAAAGCGCTTAATTTATTGTATGTGTTCTACAATATAGAGGAAAGAGCTGTGCATCAATAAATATAGGTTTTGAGTTAAGGAAGATTTTAAAATCTTGAATTTTTTCGTGGTGCCGTACAATATACCTATTGAAATTAAAGAATTCGAATAACATTTCAGGAGATAATGTAGATTAAGGTGCAAGAAGTAATGGGTGTTGTAGATTAAGATGCAAAAGGTAATGGGTAATGCAGATGGTGGCAATATGATCAACATTGCTCACCGAATATTTTTACATACAACTAAACTAATCCTGTCGATCTGAAGATGGATCGCCTTCAAATAGCCATCGAATATAAAACCCCTATTACTTCAAAATAAGATCTCAGGATCTTAACACTGCACCATTGCTCCTCTTAATCAGTATTAGTAGTCTAATAAAGAGGAAACAAAAATTGAACATAACGCTTATAGTATCATGCTGGTAGTCCTTATGGTTTATGGGATTGCTTATTGATTCATGTATATTATTGTGACTCAACAAATTTAAGGGCTTATTCATAATGATTAATTCATTTATTAACTCATTTCGTTGTAAATCATTGACGGCTCTAGTCTTAAACATTGCTCTAGCTTTTGTTTTCATATTTCTTTCTTTGAATTTTATTCGTTAGCGATATTTTAAGACATAAAGCGGAAGTAAAAAGTATGATAATAAATAATTTTCAAGTCATATAGGAAGATTCTATGATGAAAGGATAGTAAGGAAATACAATTTATACAAATTTTTTGTAAATAAAATTATATATTTGCATTTAGTACGAAGATATTTCAGATGACAATACGCATGAAAAAAATTGGGCATTGGCCTAAAACATTTCTACTAAAATGGAAATTTCTTAGCAAATACCAAACACTGCATCATTGAAATTTCTTTAAAAGTGTAGGTAAACGGTTTTTTACATTTGTTCTGCAGTTAGTCCACCGCATCACATATGTTGAACACTGCAGTGCGATTGAAAATACAGCGAGTGCTTCAAAATTGACTCCGAGAAAAGTGGCTTGACAACTATTTTCCTTTTATTTCAAATGCTGCAATCGAATTTTTAAAAACTGAGAAGACAATTTTTTTTTGTTTTTTTTAGCTCATCATACAACGATGCCAAATATATGAAAATCGCAATTTTGAATTTTTTGTTGCTTACGTTGATTTTTCAATTGCAAGACAGAGCGTGGATAAAATTAATAACTTTCTGCTAATATAAAATCTCAATTAAAAAATTTTCTGCACGCATTGACTAGCTATTGTAACTAGTTTCAACTCGTTCGCCATCGTCTTATATTGTCAAAATTCATTTGAAAATCACTAATTTTTTTTAAAGAGAATTTTTAGTTTTTATATAACTCTACATTGATTCATACCACAGAGATGAGTTGGGTTAAAAAGCTGAAAATAGAAATTCAAAAGTATTATGTGCAAAAACAATTTTTAAATAATTGAAAAAAAATAACCTGAAGTTTGAGCAAGAAAAAAGATGTATGTAGGAAGCATTTATTCGCAGGATGTTATGAACGTTTTAATTAAAGTATCGATGTAATTTGTTTAAATTGTGTAAATATGAATCTCAATGTGTGATTTTTAAATTACGGGAATAAGAATCTCGACGCTTAATTTAAAAAATCGCTTGAATACAAATCTCGATATTTCATTTTAAAATCACGTGAATACGAATCTCGATGTTTCATTTTAAAATCACGTGAATACGAGTCTCGATGTTTCATTTTAAAATCGCTTGAATACGAATCTCGATGTTTCATTTTAAAATCACGTGAATATAAATCGTAATGTTTCATTTTAAAATCACGTGAATATAAATCATAATGTTTCATTTTAAAATCACGTGAATACGAATTCTGATGTATAATTTTTAAGTCACTTGAACACGAATCATAATATTGGCTTTTAGATCGCGTCAATACGAAACACAATGTTTGATATAATATCTTAAAAATGCGAAACACTATGAGCGATCTTAAATCACTTAAATAGGAATCTAGATGAGTGATTATTAAATCATGTGAATGTAATTTTAAACTGCATTTGTATAGGGGAAAAAATGCGTAAAAATGAACTTTTTTCCCTCGGAAATTAAAAAAAAACCCAACTTTTTTTGAAGAGGCAGATTTTTTTTTAGTAATGGTAAAAAATTTTCCGCAAACGACGTTTGTGTATATTATATAGGTCTGATGTTGAAGAATTTTTATTTGTAAATTCAATGTTTACTTCGTGTACAGTGTCTAGTGCGGGCTTTATTATAATATCCGTGATAAAATATGTACCTGAATCATGCTCCGTGTCAGTATCATACTTACCAACAGTAGGCTTGTGACTGTAAATGCCACAAAATAAACCTGGCATTCGTAAACTTCCAGCTGAGTCATTGCCTATACCTATCACGGAAGCACCAGCACCAATCAAAGCAGCCTCACCACCTGTATTCATTAAAATCAGTCATTAAAATTCATTCATAGTCACTGATTAAAATTTAATCTGAGGTTCAATTTTGCTGCACGCGCTTACAGTTAAATCGCCTTCAGTCCACGAGTACCACTGTATGAACCGTATATTGTTAAGTATTCCCACCGATATTTTAATAATGCGAGTCTCTGGTAGTCACAAGAATAATATCTCGCTCCGATAGTTTTCATGCTATTATGTCCCTTTATTTGTGTTCGTTGTATCTCATCTCGCCACTCTACACGATCAGTTTGAATCTTTACCGAGTAAAAAGGAGTATAACTTAAAATCTTTACCCTAATTCGTCCCGCAGTGGACTGATCGTTAAGAC